TATGTCTTTATGTGCAGCTCATTATTATTATTCATTGGTTTTTGCTAATCCTAGTAAGAGCATAATAGTTTAACAAATGAGATGAGCAAGTGAGCCCACCTAGCCCATTTGGTAGCTAACTAATCCTAGGGGCTCATCCAACTATTTCTTGAAAGAAAAAAAAAGCAGTGTATCTGCTTCGGCGGCATGGCTGGGTAGCTTGTTCCACACTCCCACCACCCTTTGTGTAAAGAAGTGCCCCTGGTCCACAGATGTCAATGCGCTTGCATGTAGCTTCCCTGGTTCACATTCCACAATTGATCCTGAAATCAACTTACTGCATCATCAGTAGCTCTCAGGGGTTCTGATTACGTACCTTTTTTTTCCTAAGTATAAAATTTGTGAGTGACCAGCGAGAGGGGAGGGCCTGCAGGAGGCAGCTGGATGAAATACGCTGCTCCGGGGAACAGCAGCCCCGTCTGCAGAGCCCTGCGGTCAGGAGTCGGAGCCCTGACCACTCCTCCACAGCCTGCATAGCGTCAGCCGCAGGTGCCGTTTTCAGGTGACGCGTCTGAATGACTCTCGGCAAGGTGTGAAGTTCTGTGTGTGTTTTTTTAAAGAGATGTAACTAAAGTGTTTTTTTCTCTTAAAAACAGTCAGACTTGTTTAAAACTGATCATGTAAGATTCCTGGGCCATGAGGCAACCTTTCAGCTCTCTAGTTTGTCACCTGTAATCTTCTACTTTTTTTTAAACAAAACTCCTTTTTGTCAGCTGCTCGTTCGACATGTTTCTGGAAAGCATGTATTTCAGTGGTGCCTAGGATAGCCCTTATATGACTAGTAGTGCTCCAGTACAGGCAACAGGCTACCTTGTATAATTCTTCAGTTCATTAAAAATGGGCTAAGGGGCACAGAGTGAGGCAAGAGGAAGTGCAAAGGCTTCCGAGCACAGGAATATCACTCCGAGATACCTGCCCTCTTCCTGAGGCTGAGCGCGTCTCCCTTGAACACTTCCCAGCTGCGGTTATTCTCGTCTTTACGTCTCGCTGGGCTCTGGCCTGAGATAGGATGTCCTGCCAGACAGTAGCTCTGCCAGCGTAGTGACGCACCTGCCGCCGAGACAGAGCGGCCGGCTGGTACTTCCGTCGCCCTGAATTGCCCTGTTTGTTATTTATCCCACGCGGGAGATGGGGATCACCTGCGCGTGCCCCGACCGTGACTCCTGGAGCGGACACGCGTGAAAGACTCTCCCCCCCAGCACTTGCACACGGTGCCCACGCTTTGCTCGAAATACGGCTGTGGGAAGTAATCTGCGCACATCCTGGTATGGTGAGGTTAGGGGAGGCTCGGGCAGAGAGAGGGGATCTGAGCCACGTGCTTGTATCCCTGTTTCGTGGGGTCTCAGGAACCTCGATTCAGTGTTGTTTACCCTTCCAAACTCTACACGGAGTGAAATCTGCCCCCAGATAAATACTTTTGCATATCTTCAGAAGTAAACGTAATTTGCATAGCGTCGACGTTCTGACCGCAGAAGGTGACGTTAGCCAAGAGCCGGTATCTTTGTAGGTACATTATTTCTAATTTTGTCTCGACAGTGACGGCAATACACAACGACAACGACACATGCGCGGTTTTTAGTCCTTATGCGCAGTAATGGCTCCACCTAGTGGTCGTCGTTCATTATTGCCGCGTTAACGTCTGTTACCTTCCGTAGCCGAGAGGAAGCAAGACGTTTCTCTTTCAGTCTTCTCGCCTTGTTTGGCAGACGAACATGAAAAAAACAATTAGCTATGACTGCTCTCCTCCTATATCTTTCCTTAAGATTTTCGTTACAAAAAAGACCACTGGGTGGCGCCCTCTGCAGGACACAACTGTACGTGCAGCTTCAAGAGCTAACAGAATCGGGGAATGAAAAAAGTATTTTTCATAGCAGCGTTGTAACAAAGGACGGTCGCCTTTGCTGACGTCAGATTTCAGTGCGGCCGTTCTCTCCAGTGCAACCGTTCACTGAAGTCATAGGCAGGAGTGTTTTTGCTCCTGCACGCACTGGGAATCTGTTCTGGGAACACACTGCTATCGGAGTCGGAGCTCAAGGTCATGTGTCGGGCGGAAGGTGCGTTGATGCTCAGGGCGCCCAGAGGAACAGCAAGACTCCCGAGTGAGAGACTCCCTCTGCCACTGCTTTGTTGGAGTCACTTTAGGAGACAAAAAAAAACGGAACTGCATGAGGTCATCGCAGCAATGTCAATGGAGCAGAGAAACGGTGTTTCGATTTTGTTGCGCTTCTTAGTGTTCAGCTGGTCTTGTGTTGTTCCTGTCCGTCGGTTGTGGGGCTGTGTAACAAGCTGTAGAACACTCTTTCATCTTTAAAGAAACAGCTGGGTTAGGTCCTGGGATCAGTTAGCTACTCGCAACCAAACGAGCCAGATGGTTTGGAAAACCTCCTCAGGGTTGGGTACCTTTCTACAGAGTCCGGAAGATCACGGGGGAGGCGCATCAGTGTGACACAGTGCTGTGAACCCCATTGGTGAGTTTCCTCGCCTTGCGCGCCGCTGAATTTCGTCCTCGCCCCTGTTACCTGGCGGCTCAGGTGTTCTCGATGTAGTTATCTGCTGGTGTGAGAACAATCTTCAGGAACTAGAGCAAAGTGAGCCGAAACAGGCTGGAAATGTAAATAGAGGGGAGGAAGTCTGAATGGTTCTCGGTGGTGTGTGGACAGCACTAACGGCGACCAGTCCACCCGTTTCAATTATTGCGTAGTACAATACAGAGTCACGGTGGAGCTGGACAAGCCAGGACACACACACACCTACTGAGGACATTCAGGTGGGGAGCTGCGTCAGCATGCGTCGGCTGCAAAGGAACAAGTAAGAGGTTTATTCCCTACTGAAAAGAGAAGAGAGAAAACACACCTGATCATGGCTCCACGGCTGAAACGTTGTGTTTTCTTTCTTCTCTTTTCACCATGGAATAAACCCCTTACTTGTTCCTCTGCAGCCTACTGAGGACAGCTGAGGTGCCGGTTAGCCTCGACGGCAAAACACAGGACGGTGGGAGGAAGCCCACCTGGAAATCATGCAAACTCCCCACAGAAGGTGGCCCGGGTCGGAATCGACGCCAGGACCCATGTGCGCTCACCGCCGCGCCACAGTGCTGCTTTTAGAGCAGACCCGGCAGGGGCAGCGACACAGCCCTGCTTTCAGCCGGTCGCTGCCCCTCGCTGGCGCGGCTGAACACAGCGGGCAGGGGTGCATTTCAGAACACTGTCCTTCGTGCCCACCGGCAAGGTGAGCACAGCGAGCGCGAAGGACACTGGCCTTCGGAAAGCAGTGTGACCGTGTTTAGCTCAGCCCCATGAAGCACGTTTAGAAAGAGCTGATGCTAGACGCCGCAGAGCAGGGACATGCAGGTACTTTCAATGATGCAAGAGGAGTCTGTAAGCATTGGGTGTCTCTTACTTGACAGAAGTATCTGACTTGACGTATTTGACAAAAGACTGTCAAGGGCCAAGTTTATCAGTCATGTAATTCATTGGCATCTTTTTAGTAGGAGTGTTCCCTCGGCGTGTGTATTTAATTGTAGTTATTCGAGAATGCAGAGAGGTGGAGGAAGTACTGCGAAGAAACGCTCGGGCAGTTCGTGATTGCAATGAAGATCACACAGCAACAACGCTTCTCTCAGCTCTCTCTTCTTCCAGGCAGAAGGGGGCTTAAATGCTTTAGACTTTAGGACATCTAATGCTATTTTTAAGATTAAATGGATACAAAACT